CAGCGATCACGACATCGTTTCGGAGTGTCAGGGGCCGCTTAGGGGCGCGCGGCGGCCCCTGCAAAGTGCACGCCGCTCTCGAGCGGGCGCCGCGTGGGCAGAATGCGCCCCGCACCACATGTTTCATCGACGATCGCGGAGGGCGCGGGACAACCGCGCGGGCGGGATCGCCCCATTTCTAAATGCAGATCGCGAAAAACAAGGAATTCGGTCCCTTCGGCCGCGCGGGCGGGATGTGGCCCGCGCCACATGTTTAACAGAGGGTCGTGCGAGTTTAGGAAGCTGCTTTGCATGGCGATGTGCACCGCACCGCGTTTTTTTGTGTATGGTCGTGGCGAATTGAGGAATTCGATTCCCAAGGGGAATTGCCAAGGAGACTTTTTAGCCGTGAGGGATGTAAATTATTATTGGCAAAGCGTGTTTCGGGTGTGAAGGTTTAGGGCTGCCAGAGCGGCAAGAACTCTTGGGATCGATTTGGGCCGACAGGTGCTGGAGGAGGGCCCGTTGAGACAAGTGCGGCCGTCCTTGGCGCGTTTCGTCCTTCTCGGGCTTCCTGGAGGCTCTCTCATCGCTATTGCTGGAGCCGCCTCGACAACACGTGTCAGAATGCACCCCGGGAGGGGCCTGGGGATTTGAGCGGAGTTTGGGTGGGGCGTGATTTTTGAATCGGCCCTTTTCCGAAATTGGCCCCGTCTTGTGTGCAAGAAGCCTGGTAGCCATAGCGCTGGCACGCAGAAAGACGCTGCAGCAAAAGCCGGCTGGAGTCACAAACGGTCCATCCGGATCGGCACATGCGCGGAACCACGTGGTCATGTAGTATGTCGATTGGTCCAACAGAAGCAAATCCGTTGTTGGTGTCTTCGTTGCATTGAATATTTGTTTACGTCACTGCTGCTAGAATTGTCGTTGCCAGGACCTTTTTGACGCAGTGGCTGACTATTCTCGCGTTGGGTGCTGGGGCTTGCCAGAGGAGGACACTGTGTTCGGAGCCAGGCAGATGCTCTCAGGCGCCGCCGGAAACACTATGCTGGGTGAGAGGACGGAGGACACGAAAGGAATATCGTGAGGTCAGGGCAGGGGGGCACACGAGAGGGAATCTTGATTTGTTTCAGGTCGGTTTCAAACACGTGGGAACACTTCTTGAACGGGCGATTGGGCTTTCATGGAAGCAGACGGTCATCATAAGCATGCTGCTGACATCACGAATGTTTTGTGAATGCCACAGAAGTTACTTAGATTCACTCATAAGTTTTTTGGGGTGCCTGTTATCCAGCATGACCAACTCGTGGCCAACATATAACCATAGGGTTTTCGTAGTTTGGCGAGTGTACGTGTACCCCAGGTGTGCGTGTGTATGATGTATATAGTCCGGGCGGTACCTTGCAGCAGGTTCGGGGTCTCTGACGCGGATGAGGCGTCTTGTCCATTCGGCGGAGGAAGTCCCACACACGCGCAATCGCAGGTCGGTCGCAGGCGCAAAACACGCGGTGCAGACGCAGGTCGCAGGCTCCAAGCATGGAGCCCGAAAGAGGCGCCCCGCTGCAGTCTATGTCGCGCGAGTGGGGTGGGGGTGGGTCGCCCAGGCAGACCTGCAATCCAGGCGGAACGCCTTTGTGCTCGAGGAGGGGTGCTTGTAGTCTGCGTGGTTGGGGATACCTATCGTCGGCGGCGAGTGAGGGGGGGAGTTGAGAAAGAGAAGGCCCTCTCAGAAGGCGGCGGGGCTTCTCATAATGCTTTGACCATTTTTCAGAAGGCTGGGGGACTTCCGAGCCTGCTGAGAAGGCCCACCCCTCTTCACTTCCCCCCTCGCTCGCCGCCGATATCGGCCGTTGAGTGCCGGTGATTTTGGGTCCCCAGGCTCCGATATGCCTCTGGGCGCCATCCGATATTTCAATGATCGAGCTGTGCTCCCTCTTTCTCTCTTCAGGGGGGGCGGAAGCCCCAGTCCTCTGCTTCGATGGCAGATCATGGGAGCCTGGCGTGTTTTTTAATTACGTCTTCAGTGTCAAATAGCATCTGGAGTCGATGACATGGCGCCGCTTTAGCGTCGATTAGCGTCGATTTAGCGTACACTGGTGTCGATTAGCATTTGAGCTGATTCGCAAGAGCCGGCAGGATGGTATGGGAGGCTCCCATGAGGTGCCACCGAACACTGCCACCCCCCTCCTGCTCCACGCCTCTACCTACCTCTTGCGAGGTACTGCTACCTCTGCCCACTGCAGAAGGTTATTTTTTTTTGGGGGGGGGGGGGGGGATACCAACGATACCGCTACCCTTCCTTCGTTTTTGCCGTGTCGGGCCCCCGGGGGAGGCCCCCGTCGCCACGGCTGGATTCGCCTCGAAACTCTGGTCAGAACGCACCCCAGGAGAGGTCCGGGCAGCAGCGGTATCGATATCTTTTGGTTCCCCCAGTGCCCGTCGTCGCGCGGCGGGGTCAGTATGGTTTGATGCGGGAGTGTTTGGGAGGGGTCCGTTGCAGTTGGGCCCAAGCTGGGCCAAAGAGGACCCTTCGGCGAGCTGCTCTTGCGTGTGCACTGGGGCAGCACGTTGGCCAGCGCGTGCTTGCTTGAGGCACCCAGTGCAAGGTCCTGCTCACGAGTTTGGCCCACTTGGTGCGGCGGGGGACGGTGCGCGGCTCGAGCTCGGCAGATGTTCGATCCGTGATGGCAGGCGCTCAGGCTCGGCCCGGTCGAACTGGGTGCAGAAAAGATTGGCACGATGCTTAGCATCAGTTCTTCTTCTCGGGGGCGGAGAAGAGGGGGGTGATGACTAGGGGGGGGTGGATATCATGGCGGGGGCCATGATATCTCCCCAGATCTCGTGGCGCCGCTTCTTGTTTCATTACGTCCCTGGCCTCCCCGCTGGGCCGCGCACATGCCGCCGGTCATGATTTGCGCCCCCCCCTCTTGGACACCCCCCTCTTGGCCGCTCCCGATCTTCATCTTGAGCAGTGTTCGCTGTCCCTGCCGCCTCTGGCCTTGTCCATTCGAGACAGTTGGCCGCCTGCCCAACAGCGCCACGCACGAAACGGAAAAAAACACAGGGAATGGACGTCCGAGCGACGGGGAGTCTGAGCCTTCTGAGAAGGCCCGCCCCCTCTGCCTCCCCACCTGGGCGCGCCGTCGAAGCATTCGTCGTTGGGAATCGTACCCAGTTTTCCGCATCCACTTCGGGTGTCCTTCAGGCATTCCGTGGCCGAGAGGTGCGACGTTTGCCGAGCAGGCGTCGCTTCCCTCGTGTACCATGCATCTGCGGAGCGAGACCTCCCGCTCCGTTCTCGGGAGCTGCCAGTTGAGTCTTATCCCCGGCGCGCCTCGCCGAGACGCTCGCTGTAGACTGGTGCCTCGACGTGTTCTTGTCGTCCTGTCCCGTTGCAACCAGCGGCTGGTAAGCCGAGGCATGCGATCCGCATGTGCCCCGATGAAGAGGAGGGCGATGAGTGATGAGGAGGAGGGTGGAGAGCCGTGCGGAGGGCGAACGCCCATCCTTTCGGTGTGTCCAGAAGTTCTGCCCACCGGCCCCAAAGCGTTCCCTCCTGCAGGCATCAAGTACCTGCACTCCCTCAGGGTGGTCCATCGCGACCTCAAGTGCGAGGCGCCCCTCTCTCTGCGATGCTCCACCCCGCTCCTTCATCCGTGCCTTGTGGCCGCATGCATCAGATCGGAGGGGTGCCGGCACCCGCCTCTGCGGCTGTCTATCGCCCAGAAGCCATGCCGCCGGGCCCTCGGGGGAGGAGAAATGTTGGAGCTTCCGGGTTCGTGTGCGTGTTGTCTGACGCTTCGCGTCGTGCGGCCTGCGTGTACACGCCGGCCGTTGGACGTGGGCATGTCTTGGGATGCCCCGATCCCGCTCTGCCTTCCGGGCGCCTCCCTGCGGCGAGGATCGGCTGCTCTTCCCCTCGCGCCTCTTCGCCTTCCGGGGGCAGGGGCGGAGATCCAGTCTGCTTCCAGCGCCCTACTACTACTACTACTACTACTACTACTACTACTACTACTACTACTACTACTACTACTACTACTACTACTACTACTACTACTACTACTACGACTACTACGACTACTACTATTACTACTATTACTACTACTACTACTAGTACTACTACTAGTACTACTACTACTACTACTACTACTACTACTACTACTACTACTACTACTACTACTACTACTACTACTACTACTACTACTACTCCTGCCAGCCGACCCGGAGGCGACGACAAGGGCGAGCAGCCCAGGGGCGGGCACTACGCGCATTCGCCCGAGAGCCTCGCCGAAGGCGTGGACCATCGGCGCCCCTGGATACATTCAGGAGGGGAAAAAACACACAGACACAATTATTCGTCGATTTTTAGGAAAATATGGGAAAATATGGGAAGTGGGGGGGAAGACGAAAATCAAACAAATATGGGAAAATATGGTGAGTATTTTCATTTGTGTGTATTTATTTGTGTGTCCTGGGGCCCCTGTATACATGCACTGCGGTTTGCGCAGGTCGCCCTGCACAGCACATGTCAGGCGCCGGTGCACCTGTCACGGCGCTTTGCTGAGGCCGCTCTCGCCACGGCCACCTGTCACTGCAGCTGGAGCCCTGCGAGCCCAAAAAGCCCACCGTCGCCCCCGACCGACGAGTAGCCGTTTCTAATATGTGTGTGTGTATATATATATATATATATATATATATTCCTGCTCCTCCGCGTCTGCTGCGGGGCTCCTCGGGGGCCTCCCGGATGCCCGGAGGCTGGCCTTTTGAGAGGCCCAGGGAGCGGCCTCTGGGAGCTTTTCTGGGGCATTGCTCGGACGTGTGCCTTTTTTTCTCGGGGGGGACAATCGAGGAGCCTTTTGGGTCCTCTTGGGAAAATGGCCCATTGGTCGTTGATAGTAAGTATTTCCGGGCTTCCACATCCCAGGCTATTTTAGCCGCCATCTTACTTCAAGAGTCGAGTGGCATTCTCTCTCTCTCTCTCTCTCTCTCTTTTTTTCAGGAGGCAGGCGGAAACCCAATCTACTTTCAACGCCATCCTACTTAGTGCTTCCAGTTACTTTTTTTTCGAAATTGTCAGACCGATGGGTACACGCACGGGGCCGAACCATGGGCGGGGAATGGGCGTCCGAGCGATGGCGAGTTCCTTGAGGGTCCGAGGGTCTTCGCTGTTGCTTTTGACATCCGAAGGGGCCCCGTCGCATCCCACTCGCGCGGGCGGATAACATTTCACCGCGCGGACGGTGCGCAGGAGGGGCCGCAGCGCAGAGTCTGATTGGACGTTGGTCACGATGAGTTAGTAGAGTGCAAGCTTGCATTTGTTGCCGTGTAGCCTCCCGGGACACGATGCACGCGCGAGCAAAATCGGTGCCGGGCGCTGGTGACGGTAGGCGTGCATCGTCGCCCCATGTGGCCAGGCCGCGCCAGGTCGTGCCCCCAAGCCCCGCATGTCAATGCGTATGTTGTCCCATCTGGCGGCCAAGTGCACGCGGAGCTTGAGCTTGTCGTTCTCACTTGTGCTTCCCTTCACCGAAGGGGGGAAATCGGCCAGTGGGGCCCAGCCCACACTGATGGGGATGGGGATCGGTTAAACGATGCTCAAAGTCCCCTCCACCCCTGGGTAACGCTGACGATCGTTTGGGGGAGGGTGGCCTGGACCCCACCCGCTTGCGTGCGGCGCTGCACGCAGGCGACTGATGCGCCTGTGGCGCGGATGCGCCCTGGCAGGTGTACGCCGCGGCCGCCGTTCCCATTACCCTCCCGCCCGACCCCCCCCCCGCTCGGGTAACGAACGTTACCCAAAACGGTCACTTGTGTCCGCGCCGGCGTCGCCGACGCATCGCCGACGTCGCCCGACGCATCAGCGATGCATCGCCGATGCGGCGCGATCCTCCGACCCCACCGCCAGGAGCAGATGGTGGCACTCGCAGAAGTAAAAACGCCATGAACATAAACTTTTGAACTCCGCGCGGATTTCTCGGATCCGCGCTGGGCCCCCCCAGCGGCGCCCACGGCGCCGCCCTGGCGCGCTCCGCGCGCCTGGGAGGGGGTCCAGCGAGATCCCAGGAATCCGCGCGGAGTGCCACAAGTTTATGTGTATGCCGTTTGTGTTTTGTTGTTGTTTCTCTTCTAGGCACGGCGACACCGTCAGCACTCCCTTCGATTCCTCCGATTCGATTCGATTCGACTTCGATGGATTCCGATTCCGATTCGTTTCGATTTCGGATTCCGATTTGGGCCCCGATTTCTTATTGGATGCATGCAAGGCTGCTGATCTCCGCCGATTCGACTTTTCCCGACTCGTATGCCGATTTCCGCCGATCCGATTAATTTCGATCGCCGATCCGACTCGTCGATCCGCTTCTGGGCCCTCCCTGCACCGCTGGCGGAGCGCGCTCCGGGCCAGGATGCACCGCCGGCTCTCCTGGGGCCCTCCCTGCACCGCTGGCCCTCCCGTGGAGGAGGAGGAGGAGGAGGAGGAGGAGGAGGAGGAGGAGGAGGAGGAGGAGGAGGAGGAGCAGCGCTGACTTCCTTGGCTGGGCGCGCGGCCGCGCGGACGCGGGGTGGGGATATTCGGCCCCTGCGCCGGCCCGGCCGCCGCGTGCGCCCCCGTTGCCGCGGCTTCGCCTCCCAGAGGGCCGAGGGGGTCGGGCACGCCCCTCTCTACAGGCCTGGCATCGATCGGACGTGTGCATTTTTCCTTCGGCGAGGACCGTCGAGGAGCATCCTTGATCATTCGGCGAAACAACCATGCAGGAAACCGAACAAAAACACAGGGAATGGACGTCCGAGCGATGGCCAGCAGGAGGAGTGTTCAAAAACAGTAAAAAACAAAATAGTCTCGGGGCGATGTTTCGAACATCGTTGACCATTGCTTGCATTCTTCTGACTCTTTTATTCTTCGTCCGAAATCTGCCTGTATGGGGGACACGTCCGACCTAAGAAGGGTCCGCAGGCGCGCGTCCTCTTGTCGGCGGCGGGCCCGGGGTGAGAGGGAGTAGGCCTTGTCAGGAGCACAGCGTAGCCTGCACCGCACAGGTGATCCTTGTCCTACTCATTGTGTTGCCGATCGGCGCGGGTTTTCGTACCCCCCCTTTCCCCCCTCCCCTTGGAGTAGATCTTGGGTGATTTGGGCGCTTGTTTCGAGCAGGGAGAGTCTCCTCCATAGGACGCACTGTTGCAAACGGTCGAGATCTGGAGCCAGACCCCCCTCCCCCCACCATTCCGCCCAATGTCGAGACGCCGAATGAGAAAACGTTCGCCAGATTGCACAACAAATATGGCACAGCATCCCTTCCTCTTGCCAGCAGAGCATAATTAGGGTGCTCGGAAGGCCTCGGGCCCTCAGAGAAGTGCTCTGAGCTTCCCCGAAGACGCCGGGAACTTCCTGGACGGCGCGAGGGTTTCCGAGAAGCCCCGCCGCCTTCCGAGAAGGCTCTCTCCCTCTCGCTTCCCCCCCGGCGCGCGCCCCGATGAGCCCTCCCCGAAGACACAGGAAATCACCGCCTACCAAACCGCCCCAACCCAACCCGAAGGCCCCGATTTGCCCTCCATACCCAGTGTGGGGGCGTCGGGGAGCATTGACAAAAACACATGAAGCCCGTACCCCCCCCCAAAACCCGGAGTTCGTGTCTTCGGGCCGAGCTGGGGTGGTCTGGTGGGTCGTCAGGAAATTTCTCGGACGGCGCGAGGGTCTCCGAGAAGTCCCGCCGCCTTCTAGGAGGGCTTTCTGCAGGAGGATAAAAAAACACAGACACAATTAATAGTCGATTTCCCATCAAAAAATTGGAAACTATGGGAAGTGGGGGGGAAGACAAAAACCCAGAATGCATGGGGTAATATGGGGCATCCCGTTATCTGTGTCTATTTATTTGCGTGTCCCAGGGCCCTTTCATTCCCCCCTCTCACTTCCCCCCCTCGCTCACCGCCGATGGAGGGCCGCAGGCGCGGTGGTGTCGCTTGTTTTTGTTGGTCGGGAGGGGCCGTCCGCGCCAGCCAAGCAACGACACTTACCATCAGGTCGGGCACGTTTTCCTGCGGTTATGATGTTCCAACCTACTTTGGGCTTGACCGCCAGAAAGAATTTCGAGCACCGAAAAAGTACCGAAGCTGGAGGTTTTTCACGTGTCGGGCCCTGGGAGGCGATATTCGTTCGACACTGTGTCGATACTTGTCTGGGTGCTCGAAGTTATTTCTTGGATGTGGTCCTGAAGTACGACGGGAGCAACATAACCCTACGGGCGGATTCTGAGAAGCCCCCGCCGCCTTCTGAGAAGGCATTCCTCTTGTCGCTTCCCGCCCCTCCCCCCCGCGCGCGCGCCGCCGATCTTGGCGGGCACGTTTGCGCTGCGTTGGCGCGGCGGCGACCCTCGTCCTCCTCCTCCTCCTCCTCCTCCTTCTCCTCCTCCTCCTCCTCCTCCCTCCTCCCTCCCCTCCCCTCCCCCCTCCCCCTCCTCCTCCCCTCCCCTCCTCCTCCTCCTGCTCCTCCTTCTCCATCTCCTCATCCTCCTTCTCCTTCTCCACCTCCTCCTCCTCCCCCTCCTCCTCCTCCTCCTCCTCCTCCTCCTCCTCCTCCTCCTCGTCCTCGTGCTCCTCCTCACCGACGAGCAGGGTGGAACGAGAGCCAAAACGAGATAGGTGGAAGGGGCATGGACCGCATATGGGGAGGAGCGGACAAGGGGAAGGGAATATTTGCAGCACATGGTAGCCCCCCACGCCCAGAACATGCTCTTGGCCAAGAGGGGCGTGAACCTTCAGGAGATCGCCCTGCTTACCTCATGTTCTCGTTTTTCTCATGTTCTCGAGTTTCCTCATGTTCCTCATGTTTTCGAATTTCCAGATGCCCATTTCTTTCTACTTAGGCGAGTCGGTGACGGCTGTCAGCTAGCAGCGTTGGCAACGGCGGGATGCGGGCAAAGCTGCTTTGTGTGCGTGGTAGCGCGCACAAGGCTGACAGACTTGGTACAGTCCAAGTGGGGCATCCAAGCAGCAACGATGGACGGTGTAGGAAATTGTGGGAGCTGTGGGGGGCCTGTTGCGGGCTTCATGAAAGCCTGAGACAGCCCAAGAATGCTCCAAGGCTGTCCAAGCGGGGCCCCCGACGGCTCTGGAAGCCCCCAAGACCATTCAAGATCGCCCCAAGGACTTCCAAGAGTCCCCCCAAGCACTCGAGCGGCCCAAATCATTGACAAAACCAATGACAAATCAATGGTTTGTCTGGTGTCACGCACTTCCGCCTCCGACACGCTTTCGAGGCTTGCACGAGCCCCCCAAGAGAGCTCCAAGAGGCCCCCCCGGGAGGCGTCGGCGTCCCGAGCAGCGCGAAGTGGCCCCAAGAGGCCATAGGAGGCTCTCCATGATGCCCGATGAGGCACCACCGAGGCCCCAAAGACGTTCTGAGCAGGCCCCAACGAGCTCACAGGAGCCGCCCTGGAGGCATCCAGCGCCGAGAGCTCCAAGAAGGCCCCGAGAGCCGCTCGGAATGCATCTTGGGGGCATCTTGGAGCTCTCTTGGGGTACATGCGCAAGCCTCGAAAGCATGTCAAATGGCGGAAATCTGAGAGCTTCGAAAGTTCCCCCAGAGCTCTGGGGGGACTCTTGGAGGCCTCTGGGGGCGATCTTGGGTGCCCTTGGGAACATTCAGAGGCAACTTGAAAAAACAGCGAATTCCCTGACATCTTTTTCTGAAGTTCGTCCATCCCCCTCCGTTCCCTCCTGTCCCTGGCGTAAGTGTTCCCCACAGTGCGTTTCCGGTTCGTTCATCTTTCGTTGTCCGTTCTTTTTCGTCTCCCGTTTCAGATCCTTCATTTTTCTCTCCGCTTGCTTCCGCCCCGCTGCGACATGTTCCCCCGTCTCTCATTCACGCCTTCCTCTCTGCGCCTCCGTTACTTATGTGTTTCCGCCTCTTCCATCCCTCATCATCTTCTCTCCTTGACTCCTTTCTCCCTCGGCCTCGCTCACCCAGCATCGTGCTCCACTATGTGGTGGGATGCCCAGCTAAACAGTGAATTCCTTCAAATCCTGTTTGTCCATGGTCTAACCGCCCCGTCCGTTTCCTCCTGTCCCAGGCTTTGGCGTGCCCCCGAGCGCGTGTTAGGTTTCCCCATTCCTCGATGTCCGTTCTCCCTGACCTCTCGTTCCTGCTCTTTTCTCTCCTCCGCCTCCTGTTCCACATCCCGTTCTTTTCTCTTCTCCCTCCTCCCCGCTGCGTCATGTTCCCTCCTCCCTCTTCCTCGTCTCTCTTTCACACCTTTCTCTCAGCGCCTCCCTCATGTGTTTCCGTCTCCCCCACCCTTCGCCGCTCGTTCTCCTTGCTCATGGGTCTCCCGCATCTACCGTTACACGTCCTTCTCCTTCCTCTCCCTTTCCTTCCTCCCCGCTGCGTCCATTTCCCCTCTTCCCACCTCCTCCTAGTTTCTCATTCACGCCTGATGTTTCAATGATTTTGGCCTATCGAAGGCTTCCCTGGAGCTAAGGCCTCTTGCATCGATCTTGGGTGCTCGTGGGGGCCTCCAGAACCAACTTAGAAAAAGGGATTTACCTCAAATCGTTGTTTGTTCTTTAAGGTCGCACCCCCCATTCGCTCCTTCCTGTCCCAGAGTGCGTTTCCGCGTCCTCCATCCTTCGTTGTGCGTTCTCACTGATCTCTCGTTCTTGCTCGTGGTTCTCCCCCGTCTCCCGTTCCATATCCTTCTCTTGGCTCTCCTCCTCCCTCGTCCTCCCTCCTACCTCCCTCCTCCCCGCTGCGTCATTTTCCCTCCTCCCTCCTCGTCTCTCCTCCACGTCTTCATCTCTCCGCCTCCCTCATTCTTTTTCGGTTTCCACACGTTCCAAGACGGCCCAAGAGGTTCGCAAAACAGCACCAAGACATCCCAAGAGGTTCCCGCGACGGTCCGAATACGACCCAAGAGAGCGCCAAGACGGCCCAAGAAGAAGCTTTTCGAGGTGTCAATGCGCGCGGCCGCTCTTGCACCATGCTGCGCGAGGTGTAAATGTATACGGTCGTTCGCCATGTCCTGCTAGGTGACAACGCTCGCGGCCGTTCTTGCACCATAATGCCGCGAGGTCTCAATGTCCACGGCCGTTTGAGCACCGTGTTTTGCGGGTGTCAATGCGCGCGGCCGTTCTTGCGCCGCGTTGTGCGAGGTGTCAGTGCGCACGACCGTTTGAGCACCGTGTGTTGCAAGCTGCCTGCGGGGTCCTGTGGAAGCGCCCCCTACCAGAGCTCCACAACACCGACCTCGCCTTGGGAAGCACGCCTCTCTGTGTGGACTGGGGACAGGCAGTGCCGTCAGGTCGGGCCCACCAGCGCAGGGAACGCTGGCAAGGCGGTGAGACACACGAAGCGTCGTCGGCATCGTGTTCGAAAGCATCCGCCGAGGTCGCGCGCGCCTTCAGAGTTCGGACGCGAAGCAGACGCTGATGGCGCGTTGCGGCGCGCCCTCGACCTGTACTTCGACCACGCCGGGCGCCACGTGCCGCGAGGCCATCAGCGACCTCCATGTAGACCTATGCGCCATGCTGGCGAGCGTCGTGCTATACAACGCATGGGCACCAACCAGTTCGACGAGGCGCAAGGCCAGAGCTGGTGCAGGCGATGAAGAAGCCTCTGGAACAGGCGGTGGTCAGCTGGGGCTCCTGGATGGCGGCGCGGCCGCCCTCCAGACAACAGTGTTGTTCAAGCGTGAGGCTCAGCAGCGAAATACTTTTTCTGCTGGGTTGCACCAACTAGGCTTATGGACAGCTTTAAGGCCCCACCCCGGGCCTGGTGGGCCCACGCAGCAGGCAGGACCCCGCGGGCGTGGCGAGTTCGAGACAGAGGCGGCGGCGACCTACCTCGCAGAGTCCGGAGCGCCCCGGTCGAACGTCCGGCGGGAGGCAGCGCGGCCGCCTGCCCGGAGAACCCCGCGCGGCAGCCAGAAGGGCCCTCACAGAGGGTTTCTAGGCCTCCCAGATGTGGTTGGAGTAGATTGGGTCTCCTCCTCCTCCTCCTCCTCCTCCTCCGCCTCCGCCTCCTCCTCCTCCTCTTCCCCCTTCTCCTCCTCCTCCTCCTCCTCTTGCACTGGTCCTTCTATTTGGGCCCGCCTGCCGCCGACGACCCTAGAGGCCTCCTAGATCGGGTCCGAGTAGATGGGGTCGGAGGATCTCCCCGCATCGCCGATGCATCGGCGATGCATCGGCGATGCATCGGCGATGCGGCTCGGTGTGGGGCCCGATTTTCTCCACGCCGACGTCGCCGATGCATCGCTGACGCCGCCAGCGCATCGCCGATGCACCGCCGATGTGTCGGCGATGCGGCGAGATCCCCCGACCCCATCTACCCGGACCCGATCTAGGAGGCCTCTAGGGTCGTCGGCGGCAGGCGGGCCCAACTAGAAGGACTAGTGCAAGAGGAGGAAAACACGGCAGAGAAGCCACAGCAGGCCATCAGGGGCCGCCGTCGCGGGTCAGTCCCGGCGCGCCCGTTGGGGCGATGGGGATCCTGGCGAGACTCTCGCGGGCGCTCCGCGCGGGCGCTCCGCGCGGCTGGCTTTGGCCGCCGCCGACGACTGAGTGCGACTCTCCTCCTCCTCCTCCTCCTCCTCCTCCTCCTCCTCCTCCTCCTCCTCCTCCTCTTCCCCCTCCTCCTCCTCCTCCTCACCCTTCTCCTCCTCCTCCTCCTCCTCCTCCTCCTCCTCCTCCTCCTCCTCGGCTCGCCCACCTCAGCGCATTTGCAGAGACGCCTGCCCGGGCCGCTGCCGTTCTTGGCCGCGGCGCTTCGAGCCGCGCGCCCCGGGCGCGGAGACCTCGCAGGCCAGAAGTGGTGGCCGATGGCCGACGGGGCCCAGCGCGCGAGCGAGCTCCTCGCCTCGCGCCCCTCCCTCCGGGAGGGCCGCTGTGCAGAGGTGGCAGCGTGAAGGGGCCCCAGGACACACAAATAAACACACACAAATACAACGATTCCCCATATTTTTGTATATTTGGGTTTTTTGTCTCTCCCCCCTCACTTCCCATATTTTTGCACATCTTCCTGAGGATCAGCGATTCATTGTGCCTGTGTGTTTTTTCCCCTCCTGACAACGCGCCGCCCGAAGCTCCATGGGGCTTCTGCGGGCATGCGGCAGGCTCGCGCCGCGTCCACCGGGTCGGCGACCCCGCCGCGGGCGTTGGTTGAAGGCGGAGCGCCGCCGGCGGCCCGGCATCGGCCTGCAGGGAACGATCGGCAGGCCGGCCACAATTGGGGGAGCTGTGGTCCTTACCCCCCCGGGGGGCCCATCGATTTCGACACCCGTCTCGAGAGATCGTCGATGCGATTGGGTTCCCCGAGGGGGGGTAGGGACCACAGCTCCCCCAGTTATGGCCGGTCGGATCGGGCGATCGTTCGAGACTGAGCCATCCACGCAAAGTGTGTCAGAAACCAGCGCCGGGGTCGTCACGACAGACCTGCCGTAGGGTGGCGGTGGAGAGCCTCTTCCACTCTTCAGGAGGGAAAACGCACACAGACACAATGAATCGCCGATTCCCCAGAAAATGTGAGGAAATATTGGAAGTGGGGGGAAGACAGAAACCCAGGAAATATGGGAAAACATGGGGGATCTTTTTATTTGTGTGTATTTATTTGTGTGTCCTGGGGCCCCTTCCACTCTGTCATTGGATCTTGCTGGGCGGCGGGGCGCGATGCCCAGCAGTCTCGAGGTCTCGCGCGGCTGCGGACGTTGGCATCGGAGTCGACGGCCGGATCGGGCGCCTCATGCGGTCGTCGTGCGCGGC